ACATTTCTTAATTTACCTAGCAATTTGGATTTATTAACAAACTATTCATTTTTTCCCATTTCTTTTTAACTATTTATATAATAAATTTGATTTTATATTAATATTTCCTTCTAATAGTGGTAAATTCTTAGTAATATTAAGACTTGGTTGCATAAATTGATAAAAAATCAATTTTGTTGTTAAATAAGAAAAATATAAATTAGTGAACCTTTTTTAAATACATAAAAGATGGTAGAGTTACAAATCTAAATTAAAACAAAAAAAACTGATTTTTCAATTTCATAAAAATAAATTGATAATATTGCAGTGTGTAGTAGTGAAATACAAGAATCACTCAAATTTTGTAATAAACGCAATGTTCTAAAAAGCTCGTCATGGCTCCATCATGGCGCGCCATGGCTCTAAGGCTTGTATGTGCCGCCGAGTTTTACCAAAATGCCGTCTTGACTCATATATGTGTATAAAAATAAATAATAGTTGAAAATACATATAAAAATATGAATTATATGCAAAATTGTCACCTTAAGTCACGCCTTATAAATGACGTAACTCGCCAAGTTTCGGAAAAACTTGAGGCTTAACATTGACGCCAAGTTACGCCTTACGTTATTTATAACCTATTTATTCCTTCAATTCAATTAGAAGTCCTTTTTTGTGGTCATAGGGATTTTTTAGATAAAACATTGGATATATAAATAACACATGTCTGAAGTAGGTGATGTACATATAAAATTTTGTTTGTCTAAATAAAATGTCGAAATATAAAAAATAACTATTTTATTCTTTTATTTGAAAATAATATTATATAATCAATGTAAATCACTTAAAAATTGCTATAAATAAAATCATAAGTAATTCTGTGTGTGAGACAATATAATTATATTTACCTTAAGATGTTTTTAACTCAAAAGTAAATTAAAGTCAACATCATACCTTCATAAAACAATATTTTTATTTTTTATTTTTCTTTTGTTCTAAATTGTAAAATTATACAAATGAATGTTTATGGCTCGTATTTTGTATTTTGTAGCACAACTATTAACTTTATATTTTTTATTGAATACAAAAAACTGATAGGTAAGAATATCTCTGTAATTTATACTTCAAATATACATAATCGTAAAATAGCTAATCGAATAAAGAAAGAGAGAGTACAAAGAATAAATCATTATATAATAGAAGTTGATGATAGAATTGTCATTTTAGAGACATTTTGTAACATCTCATTTGCACCTTACTATAGTAGTTACGAAATTCAAAATATAAATATGTTACTTTTTAACCAAAATAATTATCATAAATATGTAGTAGACGTCAATACGATTTCCGTAAATATTAGAAACGTCCAAATCTGATTTTTTATGAGAAAGTTATGATTTTTTAAAGTTTCGTGTTTAGTCAAACACCACTAGGTGTCATAAAAAGTGAATTTGAGATCGGTCTCTTTTTAGTCGAAGCAATGTAAACGACATTTGAAAATATCGTAAAAATGAATCCGTCGATATAGAGAACATCGAGAACGGAGTTCGCATGAAAAAAGTTATGAATTTCCCAAGAATTCTAACAGTCTAAATCAATATAAATATTAATTTATAATGTATTGAGAATTAGATGTTGAGATCTAAATGAAAGTTGCAGTGCACGTCGAGATAATTCTAGGATATAAAGAACGTTGAAAATGGAGCTTGTATGTGAAACATTCATCTTTCAAGTATTCCTTTGATGAGTTAATTAATGCATTTTATTGATTTTTGTCATAGCCACGACGTGGCATCCATTAAAGAAGAAATATGCACCTGTGCGATGCCACGATGTGGCGTTATGTTTGTCGGCGTGGTAGCCATTTTGGGACGAGCCCTAATTCTTGGGAGTGTTGTCATATTTAAGGGCACTAACTCTTAGGGTTGCCTCATTTGACATCCTACACCCTCTCAGATCTTATTCCAACCAAACCCTAGCTTTCATATGTGTGTTTGAGTGTATGAAGCCATCTTTGCGAAGGTTGAAAAAATAAAAGCTCATCTTGGTGTTTATGTTCTTGGTTCCAGCTTGGATCTCGTATCTTCAATTCATTTTTTATCATTTGGAGGTAAAAAGTCTTCACATTGCTCCTTAAATCTTTAGATCTAATATTAAGTCACTTTATGGGGTTTTTGGTCCATGGTTTTGGTTAGAGTGAATGGATGGAATAAAGTTAGCAATTTTATGATGTTTCTGTAACAACCCGTTGTTTTAAGATAATAAAACACTAGACTACAAGCATATTCAAGTAAAAAATCACCATCCATATTGTAGATATAGAAACTTTAAATGCCTCTAGTGCATGTTCATTTAACTTATATATAAGTTTATGGGAAAACCATGTTGAAATAGGATAGTATAGGCTTAATACTTAACATAAAATCATACTAAATCAAATCTATCTTATACTAGTTTGAAATAAAGGGACTATACTTAGTTAAATTAACGGTTTAAAGGGGTTGAAATATGTTTACGGTCAAGGGAATGCATAAACCGTAAACACATGATTTTTGGTGAAAACCAAAACCGTAAACCCTCAAGGGGTGGAAACCAAGACCGTGAACCCTTCCCTTTTTGACCTAAATCCGTGAACCCCTTATTCCTTTGACTCAAAACCGTAAACACCCCCTTCTAGAAGCTCTAGACCGTAAACCACCCCTATATATAAGTGTTTAAGCAAAAACACTTTCATTTTACACATTCTCCAACCGTAAACACTCCCCAAAATCCTCTCAGCTACCATCCGTGAACACCCTTTTTCTCTCAATCTTCAAGAGTTTACGTCCAGATTTCCTTCAATTCTTCCTATTATCTTTAAGAACATTCAAACCCACCTTCAAATCTTCATAATTTCCCGAGAACACTTTCATTTTATTAATTTAAATATGACATCGAATATAATTATTTTTAGGATAACGTTATTCGCGCGTACGCTAGCCCGAGGATCGTTTCTACAGCTCGTTAAATTCAAAAACAAATGTACATTCAAGGTGAGCTCATACCCCTATGTTTTCAATATTTTTCCATATTTTGAGAGAGGGGAGGGGGTACAAGTACAACATAATTAAATTTTTGTAAACATTCAAACGATTTCAAAACATATTTTCGTGTGTGTGTGTGTGTGTGTATATATATATATATATATATATATATATATATATATATGTGTGTGTGTGTGTGTGTTATATACAAATACGAGTACAAATATTTAATCCTTTGTAACATGCTGAGCAAATGAAATTTTTTAGAATAATCATAATTCAAATGGAACGAACATATAAATTATAATAGGTATAGTATATGGAACACTGATATCATATTTACAAAATACAAAGATACAAAACAAACGAATATATAAACTATAATTGGTATAGTTTATGGAACATAGTATTAACTTACTAATTAAGTACATGTTTTATTACAGTAACGAACATATAAACTATATTAGGTATAGTTTATGGATCATATAAACAGTTATTCATTTCAAAGGATTTTCAATTATTCTACACGTAACCGTCAATATAGCTTTGTGAAACACCCTTCACTTAGTTACCTAAGTACTAACAAAAGACCTGAAATTATAACCAGAGCCTCCTGGATGGAGAGCGTGAATTTGTGTATAGATCTATACGAGACTGACAACCCCGCACCTGAGCTGCTTGCAACAGCTAGGCCGGCAGACCTGTGGTGACAAACATCGTATCAATTCTGACACCTGAAGAACATCGTTTCAGGCTATCCAAGGTCATCAAGTATGGTTATAATAACTCACAATTTGGTATTGAAAAACATGATTAGTGTATGAATAAGTAAGCAACTTCACATAGTATTATTTAAATAATAAAGTAGAGCATGCAACTTTACGTAGTGATGGTTGTTTTACTTCCAGGTTTTGGAAGAAATTTCATGAAGAGTTGGGTACCCAGCTACATTTCAGCACCACATACCACCCATAGACAGACAACCAGAGCAAGTAGACGATTCAAACACTAGAGGATATGCTACGCACAAGTGCTATGGAGTTCGATGGGAGTTCGGATACCTACCTGCCCTTGGCTGAGTTTTCAGACAAAAACAACCATCACTCTAGTATCGGGATGCCTCCCTTGGAGCTTTTATACGGGAGGAGGTGCCAAACTCCCATCTATTAGGGGGAGGTCGGACAAAGAGTGATGGGGAGCACTAAGATAGTGCTCAAGATGACAGAACAAATCCAACAGGTTATGTAGATATTACTAAAGGCCCAGAGTCGTTAGAATAGTTACGAAGACCGAAGATGTCCGAGCTAGAATTCCAGATCGGTGATTTTTTCCTCCTGAAGGTATCCCCATGGAAAGAGGTGATCTGATTTAGGAAGTGGGGCAAGCACTACTAGAAAAACAGCCTTTTACGATGCTCATTGTGCGTCGTAACAGGCTCAGACGACGTGCAAATGCGCGTCAAGGAAGGCCCTTTCATAAAGAGAGACGACGCGCATTTACGACGCTCATTTACGACACGCGTTTACGACACACAATGCGTATCAAGGAAGGCCCTGTCATAAAGGAAGACTACACGCATTCGCGTGTCGTAACCTTACGATGCACGTGTTAATGACACGTAATGCGTATCAAGAAAGCCCCTGTCAAGAAAGGCCATGTCATAAATGAAGATGACACACATTTTTGCGTATCATAATTTTAAATGTTTAAAAAAAAAATATTATTTATAGATTTACTTATTTTCAAATTAAATTTGTATTTAATGTTTCATAATAGAAAATAAAATATCATATACAAAAATTAGAATCCATTGCATAAATTTAATGTCATACAATTCTATTTCTTACAATATATAAATTGCATCTAATCTACTATGTACATGAAATTCCAACTAAGTAAAGTTGCATCTTGCCTTTCATAATTCTTTAAGACTAATGCTCCAAACAGCTGATTATATAGATAAGAGTTGTACATTGGCCCATCTCACTCAATAATGACTTAGCCAAATTCAACTCCAAGTCTGTACTGTGGATTATTCTCAAGGGCATCACTATCACTTTGCTCTTTAGTATCCTCTGCAAAACAAAACAAAAAATGTATATCAAAAAATGAAAAAAAAAATTAGTCATAAGGATAGTATATAAAATATACGACGCGCAATGGATATAAAATATAAGCTACCTCTCTGAAATTGACAATGTCCTAAGGATAGGGTCTTGACTCTTTGTAGAGTTGACCCAAGCACATATCACAAGGATAAATCCACTACTATTAAAGTTAACAATAAATAACAAGTGTAAAAGAAAGTATGTTGTTGTTTCTTGCATTTAACAACAAATAACAAGTGTAGTAAAAAGTAAAATGTAACCCTGTGTTGCTCCAGGGCCAGGAGTGCCAGTAGGTTGGGTGGTGGGACTGATGTGATGCCAGATCAAGAAAGTATGTTGTTATTTTTTGCTACGGCTGCCACTTGTCCCTGCAGTTACAGCATGACTTGTGAGCAATCGTGTGTTGAAATGTGATGCCAGATCAAGAACAACATCAACATATGCCTACATATTTGTCATTTCATCCTTAAAATTACCAAACAACTAACAATATGATCAATAAAATCATGATTCAGTTCAGTGACAACTGCCAACCTAGATGGTTAATACAAGTGCAGGGTCAAAAACCATTGCTTCATGGTCAATGTTGTTTAATGTCTCACCCGATGCCTACCATGGCTTATCAACTAGAGCTAAAGGATTAATCAGAGCCGATTCTATTCCTTTCCCCAACATATCAAGTAATAATCGCGCTTGCATATATCCAACACCATTGCTCTCACCTCTTGAGCATTTGTTCCTTCTAATAGCTTGCATTTTATCTTGTCTAATCCCTGCATTTTTTTTATTTTTTAATTAAATCCAACAAAATAAGAACCATCCATAAATTAGAGAAATAGCTTAAACAAATTTATTTATTTATACTAAAGTAGCATGTTTGAAAAATTGAAAGAAATTTTCATACCAAGAAAAGAACATACCTTTTGTTCACTTTCAGGGTGCCCAGCAAAAGATGCACCATCACAATACCGTATCTTGACCTTGTTCCAGTTAAAGAAATTTGAACAAGTGTCAATGCATTGAATGCTAAAATAATGAATAAAAATGTAGAAACTTTTTATACAAATATATGAAAAAGTTAGGATAAAGAACATGTGAAATTACATTTTTAGCCAAACATTTTGCATTCTAATTGATGTCAAAAGTAGCAAAAATTTCCATTTTAAAAGATTTATGCCTAAATCAAAAATCCAAGTGGCAGCAATAGTCAGTCATATGTAACCTGGGTTATGAGGTGGATCACTGCTTAAAATCCTAGAAAATTGAACTTAGTGTTCCATGAAGTTTGAAGATTCTAGTGGAGTCCCCTTACGAAAAGAACAAGAAGCTACTGTATTACACCAACCTCCACCCTGCACTTAAAAAGGAAGAGATGGGTCCTGAAAACTTGAAAAAAGAACTTAAATCTATAGAATCCTAGGGGCAAATCCATGTATGCCAATAAGATCACCATAAACAAATGAGGAATATACCAACAAGCTTTGTCATGGAAAATGAAAAGCTATGAAAAAGTGAAAATGCCCAATAACTTCGACTTAGTAATTTAAATGTAATTTATCATACTCTCTACCAGAAAAAAGCACATACCAAGGTTTATTTAGATAATATGATTCATCAACCATAAACGCTGAAACTATTTTGGTAAAGGGAGCAAACATCTAATAGTTGACCAATAACCTCGATGTGTAGAGCCCATCTCCTAGAGCCAGATCCAAAACCCTTCTGAAAATGATATGCAGGAATATTTCCATCTAAACAATCTGCATGTCAAATTTCGCAAAGAGAAGCAATGTTATGCTTCATTCATTATCACTCAATCGATGCATCATCAGGGTACAAACCCTATTCTACTCTCATACAAAAATTACCATTAACTAATAGTTAATATTTATATCTGCTTCAAAATTTAATGATTGCTTATAGGATTGGAGTTTAAGAAGTTTAAAAGTTAACCACCACATTCAGAACCGCAATCACATTGTTCAGTGAAACTGAGTAACAACATAACAACCATAACATCAGCATAAGTTCTTGAAATGACAAAACTACCCTTCATTAGCTAATTTTTTAGGCCTAAAGTTTTTTTTGGATTACAAACTTTGCTAATTCATATTATTACCAATTCCATCCTCAGCAGCACTTTGTGTACAAGCAATAGCATCCCACCAATCAACTCCAACCATCAGACTCCACCAAAATCTGGGATGTATTGATACAAAATTCCATGTCAGCATTTCTTATAGCTTCAAATTTCACGAGTTCTGTAGAAATTAACTTAGAATACCTTTCTGCAATTGCACGTTCCTTGGTTATATCATGCTAAATAGTATCAGAACCGCAATTTGTAGAAGAAAATGCATGAGAAGCAATTGCAGAAAAAAACATTGATCTGATAGTTATTAATAGGTGTAAAACTAGAACCAGAATAAATATGGACCCTACCTCTTAGAAACACAACAACAACCTCACCACCAAGAGCAGAATAGACTATGCGAGCAAGGTTTCTAACATCACTTGGCACAGCTTACATGGGAAGGCTGAGTCCAAATAGTGATTCTCCCATGAAGGTGACCATTCAATAAATTGAACTGGATCGCGTTGAGAATCTGGCATAGTTATTCAATAAAAAAAATCATGACTTAGAATATAGTTAAACCACAAGGAACAGTTTAAAGATACTAAAAGAATTTCACACAGAGTACCTGCTATGACATTGAATACGGTTGACTTAGTAGGTCGTTCAGGGATCACAATATGTATTGGAATCCAAAATGGTGGATTTGCATTAGAACTACAAGTAGGAGAATAAATCTTAGAATGAAATGTATTAAGTATTAACCATAAAGAATTTTTTTCAAATTGTGGAAGGTTTACATGGAATTGTGTGCACACATCTTAATATTTCTCCTGAAAGTGAACTAGATGATAAAACTTGAAACTATCCCGATACAAAAAATATGCCAGCCAATGTCACATGGTTGGAATACAGATCACGTTTCATTCCACTCTTGACCAGCCTGCCCTTGTCTTGTGCACCATCCATAATAAAAAGGATCATTATTTATTTTATGCATTTTCCCCTCTTCATAATCATATAACATTCAACTATTCTTGCCTTTACTGCTTGAATGATATCTTTATCTACTTTGCTTAGAGAAAGATTGGTATCCATTTTGATTTAGGTACAGAGGAAAGATCGTTCACTTGTCAAGTAGTAATGAAGATGATGATAATAAAAGAATAAGAAATTATTTTTCTTTTTTAGGGGAATGAATCTAACAGAATCTTGTATTTGGCCTTGGGTTGCCACCTTTCATACTAGAAACTCAATGTATTTCCGATTGTTTCAAGAGCTTTTTGTGAGGCCATAGAAAATGGATCTGAAATCAAATACATGTAAATATAAACATTTGAAGCGCTATATAACTAAAACAAAACTGACAGCCTTAAAGAAGAAACATATGTGTTAATAGCAAGAAGAAGAATGTGACAGTCGTAAACTCATAACTATACCTATCCAGCACTCCATTTTCGCACAAGGTGAAATCTTTATTACATTGGGTGGGTCCATGCTAATATTCAAACATAGAACAAGAGCAGCACATCATGTTTTCATCTGCAGTTATTAAAAAAACATCATTTCAGAGCTAATTATAAAGAAATACACTACCAATAACCACCCAACACAACATACCATTTGTTTTCTGTAACAGCCCGGAATTTCAAGTATTGTTAAAATTATATTTTAGGGGGTGTTTTAAGTGGGGACTCGGCGAGTTGGAGCCAGACTCGCCGAGTAGGATCGAAGACCTGGTCGCGGGTTCGCGACTGGACTCGACGAGTCAGATAGGGACTCGGCGAGTCTGCGCTGTTTAGCGAAAACCCTAGCCGTTTAGGTTTGGGACGTATAAAGGGGACTTATAGGCTGTCATTGTTCGTTTTAGCCTTCTGAGAAGAACTCTAAATCGATTGTGTGCATCTAGATCAAGATTAAAGGCCATTGGTGATTTTGAAGGAGTTGTTGTGCAAAGAAGAGAAGGGCTTGGCTAAGGAACAACAAGGGGGTCACATTCTGAGGATTGGGGACACAGAGAACACATTATCCAGGTAAGAATTCGTGTATACTCTGCTATGGTGATGTATTTTGAGGATTAGGGTTTATGGAACCCTTTTATGGATAGATTGAATGTTACCCTTGTTCCCCAAACGATTGTAACCCTGTATTAGGACCCTTGGAGGTCCAGAATACCCCCATGTCTGTGCATCTCGGGAATTGGTGAAGGTTTTGGATTGAAATCCTTATGCCTTAGGTCAACATGTGAATTATAAGTCTTGGGGTGTAGCATGAGCACCGAAATGAGGACCATACATAATGGATCAGTCTAGGAAGGCCAGACCTATGAATGGTCGGAGCAGTTCCGACCTTAGGGAGCAGTTTGAGCGGCTGCATGGCATGGACTCGCCGAGTCAGATGAGCAGACTCGGCGAGTAGCTTGAAGAATAACTGGGACTCGTCGAGTTGTTCCTCAGTCTCGGCGAGTGGAGTCGGGGTGGCCCCGCGATTCTTCCAGGAGTAACTCGTCGGGTCAAGGAGGATACTCGACGAGTAGAAGGGAAACCTTAGAGGATTGGAGGACGACTAGACTAGCCGAGTCGCCAGAGTACTCGCCGAGTCCGGTCGAGTTGACCGTGGACCGTTGACCAGAGTTGACCCATGTGTAATTTCTTAGGGTCAGTTAACGTGGAAGATAAAAGTATTAATAAGAGATATATGATGTTATAGGGAACTTGTAGCTCGGTGGATCAAGTACGAGGGATTTCAGGAGTTGCTAACTTTCAGTATCCGCGAGGTGAGTCTTCTCACTATACTGTACCCGGAAGGGTTTGACTGTGTGACCGGAAGGTCGGGTATGATATGTGTTATAAGTGCTATAAATGGAAAGGTAATTGCTATGCGTGCTATGTATGTTTATATGGGCCGGAAGGCAATATGTTATGTGACCGAAAGGTCGGATATGATGTATGATATATGTGCTATATGTGTTATGATAAATGTATTATGTGTTGTGTATGTTTATGGGCCGGAAGGAAATATGTTATGGGCCGGAAGGCGAATATGTTACGGGCCGGAAGGCGATTATGTTAAGGGCCGGAAGGCGGGTTGTGTTGTGGACCGGAAGGTCAGGGCCTGGAAAGGCGTATATGCGTAAGTTGTATATTGGGGAACTCACTAAGCTTCGTGCTTATAGTGTTTTGTGTTATGTTGTTTTCAGGTTCTTTCAGTAACACGGGATGGCACCGGCTCGATTGTACACACCAGAGAAAGAGTCAAATTTTGGAGGATCCTGGTTTTCTATTTAAGTGAAAATGAAACTATGCTTTGTAATTCAATTATGAACGAGATTTTTAACAAGTGTTTTAATATTAAAATGATTATTTTAAATGAAAATTTTGCCTTGAAATTTACGGTGTTACATTTTCAAATGCATATTTGTATTAGCAATGAATTATCACTGTTACAAGAACAACATGATGAACTTTTTCTATCACAGCAACAACAATATGCTGTTGGGTTTAGCATATAGCAACAGTAGCACCTCCTCCAGTTTCTTCCTACTGTATGTCAAAACAAAGCCAAGTTCCAGTATGAATCCACATCAAATTCAATTCCTAGCATTTCGGGGATTCAATCAACGGATAAAATTTAGATTTGCAAATGTACTGGTAAATGAAAGGCGTATACATTACCTAAACTTTATGTAAGTATAGGCGTCCTTTCTACTGAGTTCAGATAAAGACGCAGTGGAAGTAAACAACGTCCGTCCGTTTGGGCCGATGTCAAGTGACATACCACGCTCATCTTCATCGAGGAGGCGCCTCCGGTTTCTTTCATCCTATATGACATCATGAGTTGCATCATCGATGGAGGAACCAACAGCCTCTTCCTGTTCCGACTTTGTTCCACATCGACTTTGGATTTAGGCCGAGCTTTCTTATTGCCCGCCTTTGCACCCGACGATTTGGCTTTCTTTTCCGCGAAGGCTCTGGAAGATGTCAACTGAGAAGATTTCGAATTCGATGCTGCAATGGAGGTCAGGATGAGAGTTGATTCTAAGCCTTACAAAGGTTCCGTGCTCTGGTCCTTTTCTAAGAATACCAGTAGAATGAAAGAAGATCAACTTCAGTAGATAGCAGAATGAGTGTGGATGGGTCCGATTTATCATCATCAAAAAACTCTGATCTTTATGATAGTATAGGATCTCCAGTCTCTTCTGAAAAAACCCTAAAAAGACAAATCACAATCGATCCAATAATCGGTGATTTTAATCCAATAATCAATGGGGAAGGACCAGTGGTCAACGGCAAAGGTGAGGAACGAGATTTTTGATGAGACCGATAAGAAGGAGGCCAGGAGTCGCGGAGAAGCGGATCGGAGAGGAGAGAGATGAACCGAGAGAGGAGAATCGATCGAGAAGATGAAAGATAGAAAAAAATGTAGAAGGCGGGCTTTCAAAATTTTTGGGGATTTCGTTTCCCCCTCTCTAAACGCGTGTTTCATTATTAAAATTATAAAGCGACAAGTATAGAGGACGCGCCATTAAGATAAAGCGCCCTCCGTGTTTTTTTTCTTTGGACATTAATTTAAGGGCACACAATAATGCATGACGTAAATCCTTAAGTTTTTTGAAGAGATAACACTATTTTAAGGTCACTCTCCTTTGCGTAACATAAATCATTGTGTGTCATCGTTTGCGCGTCGTAAAAGGCTGTTTTTCTAGTAGTGAAGTTGGGCCCTAGATACATTGGTCCTTTTAGAGTGATTGCTCGAGTAGGTAAGGTAGCTTATAAGTTAGAGCTTCCTGCAGAGTTTAGCCAGATTCATAACACCTTCCATGTATCCACGATGAGGAAATGTGAAGCCGACGAGACAGCAGTGGTTCCTTTAAAGGACATGTAGGTTGATGATTTCCAGAACTACATTGAGAATCTGGTGGCAATTTTGGAAAAAAAAGGTGAAGGTCTTGAGGAATAAGGAGGTGCCCTTGGTTAAAGTTAAGTGGCAGCTGTTTCCGAGTGGACTTGGGAGCCGGAGTCCGAGATGCATGAGCAGTACCCATAGTTGTGTCCGAAGAATGATTTCAAGGGCGAAGTCTGATTCTAGTGGGGGAGAATTGTAACATCTCGACTCCTAGGTAAAAATTTAAAATGTTTTATATTCATATTGACAGTGAAAATCGAAGAGTTGGAGGCCCCAACTCATCGATTAGAGATTGAGATGGCCACGTGGAGCTGGAACTGAGTGTGAAAACCCTAATTTTAGGGGTTTGCACCTTATTTAAAGGACCTTAAGTCCTTTACCCCGCCTCCCTCATCACCTTATTGCTGGATTAGGTGTCTAAGCCCATAACTATTTTTAGTATGTACTTGATTTGATTATGAGCATGGTCCTTTTGGGTTGTCTTCACTCATGCAACTTGATAGGATAACAAGTGGAGAGAGAGGGGGGGGGGAGAGAGAGAGAGAGTGTGTGTGTGTGTGTGTGTAACATACACGTTCTGAAATTTTGTATTGTTATTATTAAAAGTGAATAAAATTGAGTGTTGACTTCTAATAGATAGTTTTTACTAGAAATGAAGTAAAACTATGTTTAGAATCACTCATAAAATATTGGAAGTCTTATGAGATTCCAATTAATAGCCAAATAGTGAAATTTAGCGAAAATATAAAATTTGAAATAACTAAAATTTTATTATTTGATGTTGTAAATCATCTCCTTAGAAACTTGTAGGCGAAAACCTCGTCGAAATCCGAGTTATAACGAAGAAGTTATGACCAATCGAAGATCCGCGACAAAACCGGCACGACGCCGAATAATGTAAAAAGGTGAGTTTTTGATACATTACTTTTTAGCCTTAGAAATCTAAATGAAAGTCGTAGTATTCGTTAAACCGAGAAATTCGATAAAAAGAACGCCAAAATCTGACTTCGTATGAGGAAGTTATGATTTTTCAAAGTTTCAACTTAGCAGTAGACAGCTAAAAACTCGAAATTTAGATCGAGCAATATTTGACCGATACATCCTAAACGAGAATCGAAGGTCTCGTCATATGTAGTACAACGATAAAAAGTCTGACGAAAACGGATGTCGGATGAAGAAGTTATGAATTTTTAACGGATGTTTCCTGTCCCGGTCTGTTAAAAATAATAATATTAAAATTAAACTCAAAATTAGCCAACTAAGTCTAAACGAAAGTTGTAGAGCTTAATTTAGCTACGCGTGCATATAAAGAACGCCAAAAACGGAGCTCGTATGCGAAAGTTATGGATTTTAGAAGTTCGAGGCACATTTTCCGAAAAGTCTCGCATGAATAGTACCGCCCACGTCACCTCGCACGAAGTAGGTGCGTCACCGGAGACGTGGCCAAATCCAAAGTCAACATGTGTCACAAGAAGATTCGCCGAGGCCGAGGTCCAGCAGGAAGGGGACACGTCTCGCATCGGTGGCTTGTCCGACGCGAGACACGTCTCGCCTACCCGCCTTGCACTCGGTGCCACGTCCGAGCCTCGTAGTGGCCTCGTGGCCTTCGCTCCTCCTGCCAAATGTTCGAAGCTCGCAGGTGCACGTTCTCCCCTCCTCTCGCTTCTTGGCCTTCTCTCCAGCAGCCACGTGCTCGCTTCTCAACCACATGATCCGAGCCTCTCGCTATAAATAGGAGGCCTGTGAGCCTTCCCGGGTAATTTTGAGAAATTGCCATTTTTGGCCCCTTTTTCCATATTTTCACTATTTTTAGTTTTCCCGAAGCCCCGGCATCAATTTTAGCACCCGAAATACGTCCCGAGACCCCCAAGAAGCCCGAAAATTTTATCTTTTCGGTTTTGAAGCCCTACCTTCACAGAGCCCGGTTTTCAATTAAGCTCCCGGTTTTCAACATAGAAAGACATATTTAAAGCCGAAATGCTGTCCAAATTACTATTTTAACCCCTGGTTAACTTAAGGCGAGTTCAATATATAGGAACAATTGTATGTTATGTGTTATATGTGCTATGTGCTTGTCAGTGTTGTTATTTTGAGTTATTCTCCCGTGTTATTTTATTCGCTGTGTTTATAGCAAATATAATACCTTTGACCATGTGATTAGTGAAAGGACTTAGATTCACATTGGTACTGGTACGTAGCCTCTGGCCATGTAGAGCATGTCTCTGTAAGAGAATGAATTCTATTCTATGGCATTGGCATAAGGTTTGATAGGAATGGTATGTAGCCTCTGACCATGTAGAGCATGACTCTGTAAGAGAATGAACTCTATTCTATGGTATTGGCAAATGGTTAGACAGGGCTATAAGCCTAAAATCTACCAAAATGTTAATCAGAAATTATATGTCTTCTGTGCCAATTGGGCCAAAGCTTTATTGATGCATATCAAGTATTGAAATCGTTATGTCTCATTGAAAAGTATATCTTTGAATAAATTCTTTGATTGATATGAACGCTTGTCACATGATTTCACATATGTCTTCTTGTTCCCTTCTGCTTCTGTCATATTGGTATATGTAAGGCATAAGATTATATTGTATCTATCTATTGAATTCACTTAGCGTTATCGCTTATTCCTCTCAATATTTAACAATTGCAGGTGATGAGTATTCCAATATAGCTTTATACTGCTAAAAGATTTAGAATAGTTATTAGTATTTCTCTGTATTTTTAATGTTCATGTATGTATATGAATAGTAGATTCCTGGGTAGACATGAAATTGTAATAAAACTTAGTCGGTTTGTATCCAATCCTTTGTAATCACTTAATCAATATAAAATATTGTTTTATAAATATGCATGTAGCATGTTTTGAGGAAGTAACTTAAGAAATTTTTTGAAATAGTATGAAAGTTTGGGCCTTTCATAAATACGAAAGTTGGGGTCTTTCAGAGAGAGTAGGATTTATTATGTGAATAATAAATTGGTACTCAGAATGATTTTATTAGTATATTATATGATTAATATATTATTTGAAAATCATATTATTAATTAGTAATTAATCAGAAATTAATCTAGTATTAATTTTGGGATTAACGGAACTGATTAATAATGGAGGGACTGATTATGTAAATCAGTAATAATTATAGTTTGGGCTAATGGACCTTATTGATATGGGGTGGATGAAAATCTATGGAAAGCCCATAGAGTTTTCACCTAAGGCTCTGTTATGTAGGGGTTCACGGATTGCATAAGGCCTAAGCAAGGAAATTAGGGTTTCCACCTAAAAACCCTAATAGCCTCAACTATATAAACCCTCCTAACATAAGGATTTTTGGCCCTTATTAGTTTTAGAGAACCCTAGCCGATTTTCCTTCCCTATCCAAGTCTTCTTTTGCATTGAGTGTTTGTGACTCCATTAGAGGTGCAACACTTAGGGCACTAAGCTTTCAATGATAAATGAGTTCTTGTTATTGCTACATAACAAGTTAGGTAATGTTGCAAACCCTATTTTACATATGATTTTCAAAATTGGTATGCCAGTATTAGGGTTTATGCTTTGGATTATTATTTTCATGTATACCTAGAGAAAAACCTAGATCCAAAGCATTAGGGTTGCATGTTTACCATAGGAATGTTGTAGTGCTCAAAAACCCATCAATGGTATCAGAGCCTATGTCAACTTTCTGTTATCTGTGATGCTAATGTGAATTGTTCAAAGCTGGAAAATTTACGTTTTTGCTTTTTGCCTGATGACCATGAGGTGGTAAAAGTGACCACAAGGTGGTGGGTTCTCACGACGTGAGCATACTGCTCACTAGGGGTGAGCATGGTGCGGTTCGGTGCGGTTTTTGGCCAATACCGAATCGAAAACCGCAACTTCGGTTTTCTAAACTTTAGAAACCGCATAGTTCGATTTTTATGCGGTTTGGTTTTTGCGGTTTATTTTTCAGTTTTTTGCGGATCGGTTTTTTATTTGCTGTTTTTTGTCAATTGTTTTTATTTTTCCTTTTTACTAAAAATTAGGTAACTTAACGAGCTACTTTGACTCGGATGAGAAGTGTAAATTATTTTTTGAGAAACTTTATGTAGAGATGAGGAGCGTCAATTTTTTCATCCCCAACAATGTGCGACTCCTCAGAGATGTAGGTTAAAAGCCATGGACTTGACTCTCTTATATGAAATGCGAGAATGATGAAGGTTTTATCTTAAATGCGATAAGGGACACTCTTATAAGGCTGGCAAAAT